ATTTGATCCTCTGCACAATGATGTGTGGTAAGCGTGATCACCCCTGTTTTATAGAAGAGGAAACAGAGGCTTAGCAAGAGATCACTGTTGCCCCTGGTTACATGGAAAGGAAATGGCAAGACCAGGATTTAAACCCAGATCTGTGTGGTCCCCTCCCCCCCATATAGCGTTTACCTTGTGCCACCCTGTTCTAAGCCTTTTATGGGGATTACTGATTAATCCTCACAACAGCCTCACAAAGTACGGTGCCCTGTGAGGCTCATTCTACAGACCAGAAACCTGAGGCCCAGAGAAGTTATCTCCTGGCTTGGGGTCACACAGCCAGTACATGACTGAGCTGGGATGTGTACCTGGGCCGCCTGGCTCCAGTCCTCACACTGCCTCATGGCAAGCGTGTGGCAGATCCAGAACTAACGTCCAGTGTCCCAAAGCCAAAACAATGGGGGGGATGGGGGCTTGGCCGTCCCCTTCAATCCTGTTCCCTAGAAGTAGCTGGGGAAGTTAGGATGCCTGTTGGAGTTTTCTCTTCCATGATTCAATCAACACCCATTCTGCCAAGTGCCTTCTCTGTGTCGGGCCTGTGCTGAGTGGCACTGGGGACACTGTAGTGACTGGCATGGCCCTGGCCCTGTCCTTCCCTTCTGGGACTCACAGTCCCGTCTGGGAGATAGATGCGTTCCCTGACAGTGATGACTCAGAGTTGACAGAGCTAGAATGCGGGAGCCCAGGAGACTGGGGGCCTGGTGGGGGGGAGTCAGCGAGGGCTTCCTGGAGGAGGAAGTATCTGCACTGGGCTCAGAGAACAGGGACTAGAAGGCAGGTTAGCTGGCTGAGTCGGGATGCAGAGCTACGCTGCCGTCCGGGGCCTGGTCCACGGGCCGGCAGCGCCCTCTGCTGGATGCGTCCCACTGTGCAGTGGCGGGCGTACAGAGTTGCACCAAGTTCTGTTAAACATGATGCTAGAATTGTGTGCGCCCAGCTTTGGCCTTTTTATGATTCTAGGACTTAGATTCATTAATTCAGTCACCCATCAGATATTTACCGAGCATCTACTTTGCGCCAGACTCTGTTCTAGTGCTAAAGATAGAGTGCTGGCGGTTCAGAGCCCTGCCCTCAGAGCTGACATTCCAGAAGAGGAAAAAAAGGAACCAATAATATAATATAATATAATATACAATCAGCTGCTAACATTTACTAAGTGCTCTCTACGCACCAGGCTCTGATAAATATATGTACTGTCTATATATTAACTCATTCTGCCCTCGGAGCCTTTTACTATCCCCATTTCATAGGTTAGGAAAACTGAGGCACAGAGAGGTTAAGTTACTTGCCCAAGGCCCGCACAGCCAGCAAGTGCTGCAATCACATTTGAACCTGGAGCCCAGTTCTTAGCCGTTGCATTCCCTCACGAATAACATAATGTCTGTTATGTCATATAGCATAGTGGTGCGATACGATGTGTTATGTGAAATAATTTTAGGCTCTGAAAAGCTCTGTGAACGAAATCAAGAGGGGAAGTGAGGCCGTGTTTTTGTGGGCGGGTGCTATTTATTTTTTTTTATTTATTTTTTTTTTACTCTATACGGGCGGGTGCTATTTAGAAGGGGTAATCGGGGCCAGCTGGGTGGCTCGCGACAGCCATCCCAGCACTTTGAGAGGCTGAGGCGGAGGCCCACGTGAGCCCAGGAGTTGGAGGCTGCAGTGCGTTATGATGACGCCCGGCACTCTAGCCCGGGCGACAGAGCGAGACCGCGTCTCAAAAAGTAAAATAAAGTAAACAAGTGACCAGGGACAGGCCTGTCGGAGGAGGCGGTCTTTGAAAAGAGGTGGGATCAACGGGGATGCGAAGTTTCCCAGACTTTAGCTCCGTCACGGCCCCGTTCGCGGCCTGCAGCGCGGGCACCGTCCTCGGCTCGCGCGTTCTAGAAGTTACGGGCTCCACGTGCCAGGCGCGGCGCGGCCCGCGGGGCGGGGGCGGCTGGGCTGCAGCGCGCAGGTGGGCGGGGCCGGCTCACCTGGGGGGCGTGGCTCCGGCCGCGCCCCGCCCCTCGCAGGAGCCGCCCAGGCCCGAGACCCGGGCGCGGCGGGGAGCGGCGGGCTCTGCCGGCGTGCGGGGCGCGACGGTGCGCGGCGCGGCGGCGAAGCGGCTCCCGCAGTGGTCCGCGGCCAGGTGGGCGCCGGAGTGGGGCGCGGGAGTCCCGGGAGCCGCGAGGATGGGGCGGGGGCGGAGGGGAGGACCGGGCCTGGCGCGCCCCTGGGCGCCCTTGCCTGGCGACAGGGCCGGGCCTTGGGGCCCCGACGGCCCCTGCCCCTCCCCGGGGCTCCCCGGCGTCTGGAGGCCCCGCGGGGGCCGCGCCCCTCCCCGGGCGCAGGAAAACCGAGCGAGGCCGGGGCGGGGCCTAGGGCGAGGGGCCCTTGTGACGGCTGGGAACCCGGCTGCACGGCTGGCCCCGGCCTGGGCTCAGGTGTGCGGTTTGCGGGGCTGGGCCACTTGGGGACCTTCTGCCTGCGTGTGTGCGTGAGTGCTCGGGTGTGGGGGGCGGGGGACTGAAAGAGAGTCCTCCGTGTCACCCTGTGATGGGGCATAGAGCCTGTGTGAGTGACGCGGGACCGTTTCAGTGATGCGACGACCCGAGCGACCTCTGATTGTGTGTCTGTGAGGCTGTGTGTGCGTGGACAGTCGGATCGTGTGTAGTCCTGGCTGCGTGTGACCAGGAGATTGTGTGGCTGCGGCCGTCTTTCTGCCTGTAGGGTGGGGTGTGTGCGTTTGCATTCCAGGGGGTGCGCAGCCCCTGGGACTGGGCCAGCGACAGGTGACAGTGGCTGACCGTGCGGTTGCCTGTCCCTGCTGGTGCACCAGGCTGTGCGGGACTGTGTCCGGAAGCTGGGCTGTTTCATGGGCCGGGGGGAGGCGTGGAGGGGTGCCAGGTTGCGTGAGTTGTGGGGGTGCGGGCTGCGGTCCCCGTAGCTGCCCAGGGCTGGCCGTGGTGTGCGGTGGAGGCTTGTCGTGGGGCTGTGTAAGAGTGGGAAGGGGAAGGGGCGACTGAGTACCCTGTGGTTGGGTGACAGGGTGGGAGACACCCCGAGTGTTGGATGACTGTAGCTGAGCTGTGACTGTCATTCTGGCTGTGAGGTGGCGCGTATGAGGGTGCGGGCGAGACTGGCAGGACAGGACGTCGTCACGGCGGCAAAACTGTGTGACTATGGTTGTGGTTGTCAGGGTGGCTCCTTTTCTCTTAAACTTTTGTGTCATCCTCGTGCCGGGGCCACGCCAATCTGTGTCTCTGCAGTGTTAGTCCACGTGCAGCCGCGGGAGCACCAGGGTGGCTCTCGGTGAGGTGGCTGGTTGGGAGTTTGACCCTGATGTGGCTTGTGTGCGAGGTGTGAGGCTTGGCATGGTGTGACGTGCACACACATGTGGAGAGACGTTGATGTGTAGACATGTAGGCATGTATTTATATGTGGCGATGAGCCTCTGTGGCGTGTGACATGCACAGGATGTCCTCATTGAAGGTGACCACCAGCTTGCAAGCAGGTGCACCAACCGCTGTACATGGTGGACGCAGCGTGACGTGTCCTCAATGGGCGTGTGTGGGAACCTCGAGGTCCCTCTGTGTGGCCACAGCTGTCTGTCCTGTGGGCACCCACCGCTGACGGCATAACCGAGTCCGAGTTCAGGGGCCCTCTGCGCATGCGTGTTTGCAGCTCTGTGTGTCCGCGTGTGTGCAGCATGGAGGCACCTGAGTCCCTGCTGGCCAGGCCAGAAGGTGGAGGGTGTTAGAGGAAGTGGGGGATCTGGGGGTGGCCCACAGTGAATCCTGGGAGCGTGTGGCTTTTGAGGGGCATGGAACGGGGAGGTGGCCGCTTGGGAGGCCGTGGGAGAGAGCGAGAGTGGCCTGGAGGGTGGGAGAGATGGGTCAGAGTGTCTGCACCTGTTGGCTTTTATGTCCGTGCGTGGGGTTGGATTTCCGAGGGTTAGTGTGTACGTGTTGCTTCTGAAAGAAGCGTGTGTGCGCACACCTAAGAGTGTGTTGGATTTGGCCGTGTTTCTGAAAGGCAAATGTGGGTGTGAGTGCGTACTGAGTTCTGTTTTTAAGAGGAAAATGTGTGCATGTGTTTTTTATTTCTGAGAGGAGAACGTGCATTACGTTGCATTTCTAGTGACGGAGCGTGCACGCGTGTCGAGCTGTGCTCCTGAGTGTGTCGTGTTGTGTTTGGAAGAAGGGAGTGTGCGTGTGTATGTTGAATTGTATTTCTCAGAGGATGCATGTGTTGCATCGTATCTTTAAGAATGGAGGGGGGGGTGTGAGAACCCAGAGGCAACAACCAGCTAATTGTCTGTGACCTTGTCACCCACATACAACCACAGGAAGTCCCCCACCATTATAAGCAGAGCTTCAGACTCTCAGCTGTCACACAGCCCATGGGACATCCATGGACCACTCCTGTCACACGTGTGTCCCAACAGGCCCTGGGCTGGCTGAGCCTGTCTGTGATGCAGGGTGGAGCCCCTGTGCCCTCAGGCTCTGTCGGCCTAGGAGCCAACACTTGACGCCCCTCTTGGTCCCCCCCAAACCTAGAGGCCTCGTCTGCTTCCGGGGCCCCAGCCCCTCAGCCCTCTCCTCCCGCCCCACCCCACCCCCAGTGGTCTGACTGGTTCCCAACAAAAACACCCTAAGAATGAGCTCATGAGCTGCCGCCTCCACTCGCCCCGCCCCACAGGCCCAGCAGAGGAGGGACCTCTGGTCCCAGGTCACACGGCCGACGGGGAGCTCTAGGCCAGGGTACCCAGGGTCGGTGCGGTGGGGTGGGGAGGGCTGGCCAGGTGAGCTGAGGGCAGGTGGGGGACCACAAGACCCAGCTATTTATCCTCTCTTGGTTAGTTACACAGTAGGATTTTGGAGTTGTCCCTAGGGCGGAGCCCTGGGCCCGGAGGACAAAGGTAGACTAGAATGTTCCCAGATGAGAGCTGGCGGGATAGGTGGATAGGGAGCTGGCTGGAATGGGGAGAGACTGGGGGGTCCTGCGGGCCAGGATGGGCAAGGAGGCTGGGGGCTGGCGTACCTGGCCATGATTCCCCAACCCCTGCCACCCCCCCCCAGGAGCAGCAATGTCTGTGCAGGTGGCAGCCCCCAGCGGCGTGGGGCTGGGCCCAGAGCGCCTGAGCCCCGAGGAGCTGGTGCGGCAGACGCGGCAGGTGGTGCAGGGGCTAGAGGCCCTGCGGACAGAGCACCACGGCCTGGCCGGGCACCTGGAGGAGGCCCTGGCGGGACAGGGCCCCGTGGCCGGCTGGGAGCTGCTGGAAGAAAAGCAACAGGTGGTGAGCCACTCGCTGGAGGCCATCGAGCTGGGGCTGGGCGAGGCCCAGGTATGAGGGGGCCGGCTGGGGCTTGGGGGGTGGGGCTCAGGTGTTGGGGACAGGCACAGGGGTACAGTCAGAGGGGGGGGCCCAGGGAGAGCAGGTCTTGAAGGGGCGGCTCCGGGCTAGAGAGGGGTCCCTGGGCAGTGTTGGGGGTCTTTGTGCGTGGCAAGGGTCCCTGAGCCAGACAGGGGTCCTGGGGAGGCTTTGGGGTTGCGCGGGCGGAATATGAAGCGTCCCTGCGAGCAATTTGTGCCCGGGGAAAATCAGAGGAGCCCCTGGGAGCCTCAGAGTCGCAAGAGCCACATCGGCAGGGCCTCTGCAGAATCCGGGGTCCCGTGGAGAGGATGGGGCGCCCTGGCCTGATCGGAGGCCTGGGCCGGGTCGGGGCTATCTGGCAGGTAGGAACCAGCCCCCAACTTGGGCCCCTGCCGGGCAGGTGCTGCTGGCCCTGTCGGCGCACGTGGGCGCGCTGGAGGCCGAGAAGCAGCGGCTGCGAGCGCAGGCCCGGCGGCTGGCGCAGGAGAACGCGTGGCTGCGGGAGGAGCTGGAGGAGACCCAGCGGCGGCTGCGGGCCAGCGAGGAGGCGGTGGCCCAGCTGGAGGAGGAGAAGAGCCACCTCGAGTTCCTGGGGCAGCTGCGGCAGTACGACCCGCCCACGGAGAGCCAGGTGCCGCGGGGCGGGGCCTCGGGGTGGGGCCGGGCCACCGGGCCCTTCGCAAATCTCTGTCCCCCAGCCCCTCTTAGGAGCCCACAGCCCTCCAACCCTCCTTGGGGTCCCCACATTCCCCGGAACTTCTGCAAAAGCCTCCCAGCTGCTCCCCGATCCTCCCCAACCCCCCAGGAAGCCACTGACGCTCCTGGTCGCCCTTCCCTCAAACCTTGAGACAGATTCAGGGCCCTGGTCTCTGAAACAAGCTGGCGCCCTCATGCCGGCCCACTTTCCTCCACTTTCCTGTGCTCCCCACAGCCGCCCGAGTCGCCCCCTCGCCGAGACAGCCTGGGCTCCCTGTTCCCCAGCGAGGAGGAGAGAAGAGGTAGGTTTGGGGAGCACAGCACAGAGGGTGGGGGACGACAGGCCCAGGCTGGGGAAGGGACTTTGATCCACTGGACCCCAGGGTCTCTGAGCCGAGGATGGGGAAGTCAGGAGGATGAAGCAGGCGGCAGGCAGGACGGCCACCATGACCACAGCCCCATGAGCCAGGGGGGCAGCCATGTTCAAGTCCCCAGGCCAGAACGTGTCACACCAGCCAGTTAGATGCCCAATCCCAGAAGTCAGTGCAGGGGCCCACAGTCCCGGAGGCCCGTTGGCCAGCGAGGCAGTTCTGGGGGGGTGTCCCCTTGTGCGAGGCTGGGGGCCAGGAGGCCCACAGTGACCGGGAGCCCACCTCCCCAGGTCCCGAGGCGGCAGGGGCGGCGGCGGCTCAGCAGGGCGGCTACGAGATCCCAGCCAGGCTTCGGACCCTGCACAACCTCGTGATCCAGTACGCGGGGCAGGGCCGCTACGAGGTCGCGGTGCCTCTGTGCCGGCAGGCCTTAGAGGACCTGGAGCGGAGCTCAGGCCACTGCCACCCTGACGTGGCCACCATGCTCAACATCCTGGCACTGGTGTACCGGTGAGGGGCCAGGGAGGGCAGGGACCTGGTGCCCCTCTGCCAACACAGAGCACCGGGGTGGGGGGGAGGGTCCCCCCTCAAGAGAACAGGAAATAGGGAGCGAGGGGGACAGACTGGGGAGGTCACTGAGACCCAGGCAAAGAGGGATCAGAGCACAGGCACGAGAGACCCCAACAGAACAGGATGAGACCTGGGGTGGCCAGAGGCTTGGCAGAGATCTGGGGGTGCAGGGACCCAGTGCTAAACTTGGGAAGTATGGAGAGACCCAGAAAGTACCCCCAAAGGGTGCCACCCAGGCTCCTGGGGTCAGCCTGCCCCTGTGGCCGCCCCCACAGGGACCAGAATAAGTACAAAGAGGCCACAGACCTTCTCCACGATGCCCTGCAGATCCGGGAGCAGACGCTGGGCCCGGAGCACCCCGCGGTGAGTGGCCCCCAGGAGGAAGGGGGCACCGTGGGGCTGTGCCTGCCTGTCCCTAACCCGGGCATTTCTTCCCCCACAGGTGGCTGCCACCCTCAACAACCTGGCGGTCCTCTACGGGAAGCGTGGACGCTACCGGGAGGCAGAGCCCTTGTGCCAGCGCGCCCTGGAGATCCGTGAGAAGGTCCCATCCCCCCACCAGCCCCCTGTGGCCCTTCCCACTGATCCTGGAGCACCTGCACTGTGACCCTGAGCCCCCAGCTTGAGTCTAGGTCACCAATCCTGTGATCTACCACCCTTGACCTTCTGTGAGCTCCCCGACTGATCCTGACTTGCCTCCTCTCTCATATGCCCCCCTAACCCCACACGGCCACCAGCGCAGTCCCCATGACCTCTGACCCTGGTAACCCCCAATCTGAGTGTGCACCTTGCGCCCTCCAGCCCCGTGACCTCACGTAACCTTCCATTTAGATCCTCTAATCCCTAACTTGTGACCCCCATTATGGCAATGTCGTCATTCAGCCCACCAATCCTGTATGACCTTGCTGACCCCCAGGTCCTAGGTGCCGACCACCCGGATGTGGCCAAGCAGCTCAACAACCTGGCCCTGCTCTGCCAGAACCAGGGCAAGTTCGAGGACGTGGAGCGGCACTACGCCCGAGCCCTAAGCATCTACGAGGCGCTGGGCGGGCCCCACGACCCCAACGTGGCCAAGACCAAGAACAACCTGGTGAGGCCCCCTGGGGCCCTCCATCAGCTGGGGACGGGATGAGCATGGGGCACGGTGAGGCCAGGAGACCCCCTCTGCCGGGCCCTTGGAGAAGGTGCCCCATCATACACCGCACCCAGAGAACAGCTCCAGTGAAAGGAAGCGAGTGAGGCTGGCCAGGGCCGGACGGTAGCGTCAGCTATTTATTGAGCTCACAACAGGCAAGGCCCCCCTTAGCCTTGCCCTGGTTCACCTAGTTCTTACAATGACCCTATGAGGTAGCTACTTTCTCGCTCCATTTTGCACAAGAGGAAACTGAGGCACAGGGAGGTTGTGTCACTGGCCCAAGGTAGAACAGGAAAGAGGCTTGGGGCCAGGAAGTCAGCTGCCTGCCCTCGACCCCAAGCAGAAGTGGGGCCGGGCTCCAGACCTACTCTGCTCCAGGGCAAGGTGTCACACAGGGAGGGGACAGTCAGCTCTGGACAGGGTCCCAAGATCACCCAAGCCGTGCCCTCCCTGCAGGCCTCAGCCTACCTGAAACAGAACAAGTACCAGCAGGCGGAAGAGCTGTACAAAGAAATCCTCAGCAGGGAGGACCTGCCCGCCCCTCTTGGTGAGCCCCGGCCCGGCCCTCCCCTAGGTGGCTTCTGAATGTCCCCACCTCACTGTCCCCATTTGTTCTTCTAGGAGCCTCCAACAGAGCCGGTGATGCAGAACAGCAGGTGACGCTGGGCTTGGCTTCAGCTCCCAGGGTGGGGACTGGACAGGCCCCAGGGCACTGACCAGCGTCCCTGGCCCCTCCCTAGACCCTCCGTCGCAGCAGCTCCTTCTCCAAGCTCCGCGAGTCCATCCGGCGTGGAAGTGAGAAGCTGGTCTCCCGCCTCCGAGGCGAAGGGGTGGCGGGCACAGCCGGGTGAGTGTCGGATCAAAGGACCCCGACACATTCGAGCCCACCCACCACCCAAGAACCCTCCGTGGCTCCCATCACATGTACAGGTCAAACCTGGCACTGGAAGGTCCTTCCCCGAGTGGGAGCCAGACCTTCCTGGGATTGATCCGTTCCCCTCGTGCCACCCTCTTTTGCAGAATGAAGAGAGCCATGTCACTCAACATGTTGAACGTGGATGGCCCGAGGGCTGCTGGGACTCAGGTGAGAAGGATGGATGGGGCGGGGGGAGTTAGGAGAGGGCAGAGTGGAATGTGGACCCCTGGCCAGGATAATGGGTGGATTTTACTTGGGGTAGAGGCAGGGGGGTGACAAGCTGCTGTCGGGGCAGCGACAGAGCTGTGTCTCACCTACCCTCCACCCCTCCCCAGTTTCCCAACCGGCACCTGGGCGAGGCCCCTCGGACCCTAAGCACCAGCACCCAGGACCTGAGTCCCCACTAAAGCCGACTGGACCGTGCAGGCCACAGCTTCTCGGGAAGAGGGGCGGGGGGGTGGGCTTCTCACCGCCCTCTCCTGCGATTAAAGGCTGTAGGTTTGACAACGAGGAAGATCTGCCTGAGGTTTCCTGAGCAGACAGTCACTAGCCTCAGGTACCCCTGGGACCCAGGGCCAGGGCCGACGCGGGAGGCACCAGGAACACGGGTTACGGCCCCGCCCTCACAGCTGCTGAGCGATCTGCTCGATCCTCCGCAGCGTCTCCTCCGACTGCAGCTGCTCCAGGCTGAGCAGGGACAGGCCCAGCTGATCCTCCTGGAGGGGACAGGGAGGAGTCACACACGGGTGGGGGACCAAGACAGCTGCTGTACTTCCCCTAGAGCTCCTGATGGGGACAAGAGGACCATGGGACAGGATGTTTGAATCTGGGAACATCCATGGGACCCAGAGTGTGCTGTCCTTGTGAAGGGAAGACAACCCCGAGGGAGGGAGCCGGAGTCAGGTCCCAGGAGGATCAGCTTTCCCAGGGCCAGCACGTGCCTCTCCAGAAAGGGCCCAATCCTCTCCCCTGTGGGCCGCCCAGCCCAGAGCCTGGCTCGTGGGTGAACTTGTCCGGGGCTCACCCGGTGGAAGGGCTGTGCCATCTGCCGCAGGAAGTACTTGGCGACCTGGACGCCCTCGTCAACAGTCAGGTTGAGGTTGGCGTCCGTGAGGTGCTCCTGGATCCAGCGGGGCAGCTTCCCCCGCTTGTCCGCCCGGGCAAAGCGCTTTGCACAGAACAGGGGGGGAGAGGGCGTCAGGACCCCTGTGACCCCCCCCCCAGCTGGGAAACGGAGAGGGAAACAGCCTGGTGCTCGGGGACCCAGGATGCCCTCAATGCAGACCTTGTCGGCAAAGACCATGAGGCCGTAGTCCGTCTTGCCCCGGATGGCGCGACCCACACACTGGGCCGCGTGGCGCATGGCGTCGAAGGTGAGGAAGTCATTTTCCCGGATCTGGAACTGGTCACGCAGGTATTCCAGCCGTGCCTGCAGGCGAGGCGGAGTCAGGGAGCTGGGGGAGCCATCCTCCCCCCAGTGTGCCTGCCCCAGCCCGTTTCGGGGACTCTCCACGAGCCAGGGCGCTGCTTACCTTGAGAATGCGGCTCTGCGTGTAGACGTAGGGGACGCCAAACATGATGACGGCCCGCCCGTAGTGGTGCACTGGGAGGCAACAGCGGGGGGAGGGGGTCACAAGCGCGGCTGGTTGGAGGGGGGAGGGCTCTCGTGGCCTGGGAGGTCATGGACAGGGGAAGCCCCTCTGCATGCCCAGGCGGTGGGCGGTCCCCGGAGGGAGCAGACAGACAGCATGGCGGGCAGCTGTTCCAGAGAGTTCCACACAGGCGCTGTGGAGGGGACAACCTGGTCCACTCACCAAAGTCGATTCCCTCGGACACTTTGCCCCGGGCCACTGAGAGCAGGATGGCGCCTCGGCCGTTCTCGCAGGCCTGGGGAGGGGAGGCCAAGACGCAAGCTGCGTCACTCAGAGCTGCCCCCTCCTGTCCACGCTGGTCTCCCAGCACCCCGGCACCCACCTCCTGGTACTTCTCCAGGGCGACGCTGGTCTCGGCCCCATCTTGGGTCTCGATAAAGAGCAGCTTGTTCCTCTGGATGTTTTCGAGGATGCCCTAGGGAAGGGCGCCGGGGAGATCAGGGTCAAGGGTGGGGTTGGCGGAAGGTGGACCCAGGGCACCACTGTGCTGTGGACTCCTGTGTGACAGCCAGTGTCGCTCTCTAGGCCTCAGCTTGCCCTTCTGAGACCCTGGGGCGTGGGGGACTGTCCAACCTCGTTTCTTTTGGGAAATGTCATGATCCGGGTGGGAAACCAATCACTGCCAGAAAAGTTGGGCAGGCATGTGGCCCAAGGTGGCCAATCAGGATAGTCCATCCCCTGCCAGCGACAGGTGGAGGGGTTGACTACAGGCAGGGACAGCCAATCAGAGGCTGCCCTGAGAGTGAAATAGAAACAGTGCAGTACTGGTATCAGGACGGACACAGACCAGTGGGACAGAACAGAGGGTGCAGAAACACACACCCTCACCCCCGATTCAGTGGGGAGAGCTCTTTTCAATAAATGCTACTAGAGCAAGATTTCCAAATTGGGGGGGGAATGAACCTTGACCCCTACCTCACACAGTGCACAAAGATGAATTTGAAGCACCTGGATGTGAAAACTAAAACCACAAAGCTTCTAGAAAGAAACACAGGAGCCTACCTTTGTGACCTTGGAGCAGGCAAGGGTTTCTTAAATGGGGCAGCGGCCATCTTTCCACGGTGTATAAAAGGCCAATGTCTTGGCCGTGAGGGATGAGGTTCCCGCCCCCGATAACTTGGATTAGCCCAGTTCACTCATCTCACCCCAGAGAAGTGCTTGCTCTAACCCGCCCGACAGAGAACGGGGCTGTGCTCAGAGGCAGAAAGCATAGAGCAGCCCACTCTCCCACCCACAACCTGCCGGTCACCCAGAGCCTGGCTGTGGTGAGCCCTGTTTCCAGAATGCTCCATGACCCCTGCACCCACATCCCACAAGAGGAGCCTGTAGACTCAAGGCTTTGCCCGGGTTTCAGTCTAGCCTTAATTCTCCAGAACCTTCCTCTAACAGCAAAGCACCCAGCTAGAGTCACACCTGCTGCCCAGGGTCTCCCCACTGGTCCGCATGTGCCGGAGGAATACAGGGCTGGGGAATGAGGCCGCCAGGAGGTGGGGGTGCGGGGACCTCCTCTGAGGGTGGGGCCCACAGAGACCGCCCATGTCTGAGTTCGTAACCTGATGTGCTGGGGACAGAGCCCAGGGCTGCATGCTGCATGCCACACACTGCTCCAGTGTATTGTATACATTCTCCCGTGACATGTGCTACACGTCACATTGCAAACACAGGAGGAATGAAGCTGAGGAAGCCTTTCCAGTGAGCGGGTGGCCAGGGCGGCTGGCGTACCTGCTCGTACCAGGAGGCCACGGTGCTCTCCATGTACTGGTAGCTGGTGAAGAAGGCCACGATGCCATCGGGGACCACTGCGGACATCTCCAGCAAGAGGTTTCCGTAGTTCCGGATCACAGCTGCACGGGGTCAGAGGTTGGACCTTCTCCTGCCCAGGTGGTCCTCCGCCCTACTCCATCTTTAACGTAGCATTCCCAGACAGCCCACTGAGGACCGTTCACTCATGTCCCACCTCTCCTCCATCCAGACCCATGGGAGGACTGTCCCTCCCACCCCAAGGGCAGGCAAGGTCACGTGATTTGTTGTGGCCAATGGAATGAGTGCAGAAGTGGCCATGGGCACAATTCACCATGATCACCATGGTCTCTCTCCTGTCACATCACGCTGCCTCTGATGTCCCCAATGGTGGAGGTGCCCAGAGTGAGGCAGCCACCACCAACTCACAATGGCCACGCGCCGTGGGCAAGAAGTAACCTCTGGGTTAAGCGACTGCGACGTGGGGATGTTTGTTACGGTGGCACAACTTAGCCCATCTGACTGATACCCCTTCCCCCTCGGAACCCACGGACACCAAGCCCACAGGCAGCATACCGATATCCTCCCGGGTCTCAAATTTGGAGCTGATGGCCACCTGGTCATTGCCACGGCCGATGATCTGAAGCAAGCGACAGAGGTCACAGTTAGTGTAATGAGCAAAGCAGCAGCAACGCGTTGACGAGTGAGTGCCAATCACCTGCTAGTGCTATTCTAAACTTCTTATAGACACAGTGTCATTAACGAACCCTCCGCTACTCTGTTTTCTGTGTTGCATGGACACATGACCTGGGCTCAAAGAAGGCGAGTCGCCTGCCCAAAGTCACACAGAGCACAAACGGCAGAGAAGGACTTGAACCTGAGTCTGTCCCTACTTCTGACCAGCAGCTACACCGGAGCCCGGCCTCCAGGCCAGTCACAGCCCTCACAAAACCGCCACGCGGTCGTGACCAGTGCACACCTCTGAAGGGCAATTCCAAAAGCCAAAAAGCTCTGAAGGCTCCAGATTTCTTTTTTAGGTTTGGCAAACTTGTTAAGTAAGCAAAACCTGCCCTGACCTGAGTGCACTCAAAGGCCTGACTTATCCCCTTGGTGTGACACTTTAAAACCTTTGGCTGCTGAAGTAGAAGCCGCCTGGCTGCCTGGACAGAGCTGCCCAGACCCCACAGCACACAGCCACTCGTTTCTCGAGTCTGGAGGGCTCTAAGTTCCAAAACAGTCGCCTCCGGGGCTTCAGGTAAGGGACTGAGGCCAGGTTAAGACGCCCATGTCGGAGAAGGGGACGGGCAGATGACATCCTCGGCACAGCCACGTTAACAAAGATGGTGACTAAGTGCCTACCTGTGCTAGGCCCTGAGCTACACAAGAGTTTCCTATCTGTTATCTCTCTAAATCCTGTAAACAGCCCTGGGAGATCAGGGAGGATCATTCTCATTTGGCAGATGAGAAAACTGAAGCTTGGGGAGTCATGCCCAGGTCCGTCTGAACCCCAGCTCTTATCTGTCAAGCCCTCCTGCCTGAGCAGGGGCTGGGGGGGGGGAGGATGGCGTCACCCCCCATGCTGTCACTCACCATGGGGCAGAGGCAGACCCGGGCCAGCGTCATGGTGAAAGTTGCCATGGTGACAGGGTGGAAGTCCAGGATCTTGGGGTAGATGTCCAGTGGGGACAGAGTCTACAGTAGGGACAGTGGGAAGGGCCTCAGCAGGCTTGAGCAGGGACGAGGAGCCTGACGGCAGAGGTCTGGGCACTGGGAGGGGACAAGGGAAGGGTCCTCACCCCTGACGTGATGATGACAGACTGGAAGCGCTCAAACACGGGTTTGATGGCCAGCGAGGCGTCCATGCAGCTGCCGAGAGAGAAGAGGGCGGTGAAGGCCAGGCAGGCTGGGGCCCCTGACCTGTGGTGTGTTCACCCCCCACCGGGGTAGGGTCCCACCTGAAGTGCAGGATGGGGTTGGCAATGGTCGGGGTCCTGTCGTCAAAGGGCTCGATGATGATGGTGAAGCCTACGGACAC